GAAATAATATTGTGAATGAAATTTTGATTTTGAAACAAAGAAAAGAATCTTTTTTGTTGAATAAAAAATCGAGAAATAAAAATAAAAGAACAGGTGAAGTTTTATTGTTGAAAATCAATGAAAGAAATCAATTAAAATTTGAAAAAAATGACATCTTGACAAAAGCATGAAGAAGAATCTTTCTGATTTTTTTCATAAAAAAAGAATTAAATTTGATAATTTTGATTAAAAAATTTCAGTAAATAAATGTTAAATTCTTCATCTTTTGTTGATTTTTGTAGGACTTCATCAAAGATAATAAAAGAGTTTTTTAATTTGAATTAATTTGAATTCTGTTAAGCAAAAGTAATGTCGAAAAGATTTTTTTTTAATTAATTAACGAATTTTTGATAAAATTTATTGTTTGATTTTGAGAACATTTTTAATAAAAAATGATTTGTCAAAAGAAAATGTTTTTTTTCGTTATTTGTCTTCATTAGAAATGTTTTGTCAGATTTCTTCAGGGCGTAGATTGAGTGAGTACTGGCACGAACACCCACCCCTCGAGATGTTTTTGCTCAAAGATGATATCTTAGAATAGTACTTATGAAATTTGTTCGTATAGAAAATAAGTATTCTCTACATTTTGATTAATACTAAAAAAAGATTTAGTAAATAAATCATTCTTTTTTATTTTCTCAAATCAAATATTTATTTATCCTTTTGGAAATGCATTTACCATAAAAATACAAACTAATTAACAATACAATAATTGGAAAATAATATTAAAATCTTCATATCAGTGATGTACCATTAGACAATTGGCCAGCACTGAAAAAAATCATTGTATTTGAATGATAGATAAATAATTAAACATTGAGATACATATACAGAATAAAATATTCAATTTTTAAAATGAATACTAAAATTCTGTTGGGGTTATTTAGTAATATATATATACCATTTAACCTATGTTTCATGTCTATAAACTACTTGAATATCAACAGAAATGTTTCATACCGTCAAATTGAATTTTATAAAAATATTCCGAGAAAAATTTATGTAATTTTTTTGTAATTTACAATGCAAACTCGTTGGTTCTCTTTTTTTCTATTCATGGTTATAGTCGACTTAATTGAAACTACATAAAGAAGGTGTATAATATACGAAGAAGGAAATTAAAGTTTGAGTAAGTGTATTCTTAAATAATGGGATCCATATGGTTGATAGATAAAAAATAATAGTGACGCATTCTTTTTCATCTTGTATAGGAAATTTAATCATTTAAAGAAACAAAATTTGTGTTATTGTATTATACGTTCTTCATCTGATTCCGGATGTTTTTTCTATGTTGTCGTCTACCACTTGTCATTCGTTTATTCTTAGCATTAATTATAACGATTATTGTGATTCATGAAGAAAACGGACGTCTGAAGATAAGAAGTGAGTCTCTACAAATCGAAGTTCATTTAGTTTTTTTCTGTTTTCATAGAGAACAAAAAAAGAATGTGAGAGAATTTCTTTGCATCTTCTCCTACTCTCTCATTGTTTTCACTTATTATTTGTCTTTTTGTGAAACACGAACTAAAAGAAGTGTTGAAGTGTTTAGGGGTAGAAATTTGGACCCACTCCCCCCCTGACGTGACCGACAAAAAATCACAGACGTAACCGACAGAACATCACAGACGTGACCGACAAGGCATAACAAGCGTGACCGACACAGAATCACAGACATGACCGACATATGTTCTTTTGACCTCGTCATAGACGTGACCGACACGTGTTCTTTTGACCTGATCACAGACGTGACCGACAAGGTATCATAGGCCTTTATATAGGTACATTATATGTAAATTATTTCTTTCTGATATTTCTATACCTTTATGCCACACAATGAGGCAAAATCCGCTTCATAAAGATACAATAAAACTATCTTCTTGAAAGCAGAAACAACAGTTAGATCGTGTTTCACATTGTAATCCCGCCAGGGATTGCGCTAACAGCTTTTTAAATTTTACTGTAAAAAAAAGCCGTTCACTATGTTCATGATATGATAAAACTACCTTTTAACTTTTATTCTCTTTGTTTTAGAAAGTATTTCAATTATTAAACATATTTTAAATCATTACTTAGTCAACAAAGTTTAAAGGTAAGTGTTTCATTGTGAAGTGAGAACTGACTTTGAAATAGCGTAATAAAAAATATCAGTCGTCTTCATCTCACTCTTGTAATAACATTCAATTTATATTGTACGTTGAAGGAATCTTCAGATTACTAACTTTTCAACATATATTTTTTCGTTGTTATTTGTTCACTATTTGAAGATTAGGCAGACTTAATTACTACTGGTTTCACATTAAATTGATATTTTTATTAATGAAATTCATTGATGTGAATAAAATAATTTGAAAGAACGTCATTCGAAGATACGAGAAACTAATTAACCCTTTGAAACCCACAATTTAATCTATGGACGAAACCTCTTAAAAACTTGATATTTTGTATGAGCATTGAGTATTATCGACACTTCCATTGATACTTTAAAGACTATTTTAAGTCATTTTTAACTTATAGTCGTACTCCCCTACGGGAATGATGAGAAATATTTTAGCCACTTCCTTGGAGGCATACGAACGGGAGCCTAAAAACTGACTCAGTAGGATTTTTAATCTCGCACAAATATGTCTTAACTACGAACATTTGTTAAATATATTCGAAATTTTTTGAAAACTAGAATTTTTCGCTAGGTGGGACATATATGTCGCCCTGGGGCTCAAAGGGTTAATGAGCTTTTTGTATGATGATTGGTAAGTTAGTCAACTGATTCTGTTCGATTGTTCAGACTATTTGAACTTTTTATTGTAAGCTTCTTCATATTTTCTACACTCACTCATTTACAGATCACATATTCCATTTATCTTTTTTAATTAAATAGCATAGCTATTTATAAAAATGTGCACAACTATTAAATTATTTTAAGTAGCTGACTGCTTTTCTATAGTATTTTTGATCTGTTTTTTTACTAGGTGACTAATAGTAGAAAATCTGTAAGTTTCTTTTTTCACAAACAAGTATCATAAAATAATATACGTTAAAAAATCAAGTTTTTTTTACGAATGAAGTAGATATTTGAATAATATTTTTTTTCCAACCCCTGCTCGAAAGAAACTAGTAACTTTAAATAAATACATTAGAATTATTTAACTAGCAACACAATGTTTATAAAAGAATGATATATTAAAAACCATCAACGATTCAAATAGCTATGCAACAGAAGATAATGAGAAGATTAAATAGCTAATGAGCAAAAGTGTAATACATAGTTTTCTTTGCTATTTTTCACAGATCGTTTATATAACAAAAAATGTATCTCTTTTAAAAATGAACCGATTTATTACATAAGAGTTAAATTTCATTGAATGCGAACAGTAACCTTTTTTAGATAATTTGGTACTTGTCACATGTCGTCAAAAACTCCGTTAACTCAAGGTGATGGATATGGAATTCTTATTGGTTTTGGAACGATCTTTGCTATGGGAATGATTGGAATGACAATTTGTTTGCATCGATATCTTGGTGAAGCAACAGATTCGAGTGAAACATTTTCGACAGCTGATCGAAAAGTACGAACAGGTTTAATTGCTTCTTCTGTCGTTTCATCATGGACATGGGCTGCTACTCTATTACATTCGAGTTCAGTAGCATATTCGTACGGTATATCAGGAGCTTTTTGGTATGCAAGTGGAGCGACAGTACAAATTGTTCTATTTTGTGTTGTTGCTATTGAATTAAAACGTCGAGCACCATTTGCACATACATTCTTGGAAGTAATTCATGCTCGATATGGTCGATCAGCTCATATTGTTTTTATTATCTTTTGTCTATTGACAAATATTACTGTTACATCAACATTATTAACAGGTACTTCAGCTGTTGTTCATTCTTTGAGTGGAATGAACATTGCAGCTGCTTGTTTTCTTCTGCCTTTGGGAACAATTATTTATACGATGGTAGGTGGACTCAAAGCTACTTTTCTTACCGATTATATACATACAGTAGCTGTTCTAATTATTATTTTATTTTTTGCATTTATCACTTATGTCACATCACCCGTACTTGGCTCACCTTCTAAAGTCTATGATTTACTTGTCAATGCGAGTCAAATTCATCCTGTTGATGGAAATGCGGAAGGTTCATATTTAACGATGCAATCGAAACAAGGTGTGATATTTTTTATCATCAATATTATTGGAAATTTTGGAACTGTTTTTCTTGACAACGGATATTATAATAAAGCTATTGCTGCTTCACCAATATCTGCTCTACCTGGTTATGTTTTGGGTGGAATTGCGTGGTTCGGTATTCCTTTTCTTATAGCTACTACGATGGGACTCGCCGCTGTTGCACTAGAAAACAATCCAATATTTCCAACATATCCAAATCGATTAAGTGCAGCTGATGTATCAGCTGGTTTAACTTTATCAACAGCTGCAGTAGCTCTTATTGGAAAAAGTGGAGCAATAGCTACTTTGATCATGATTTTTATGGCATGTACGAGTGCTATGTCTGCTCAACTAATTGCTGTGAGTTCCATAGTTACTTATGATATTTATAAAGCTTATTTCAATCAAACGGCAAGTGGAAAGAAATTGATTTATGTTTCTCATATAACTGTCGTTCTATTTGGTCTCGGAATGAGTATATGGTCAATTGCATTGTATTATATTGATATTAGCATGGGATATTTGTATTCAATGATGGGTATCATTATTTCTAGTGCTGTTATTCCAGGTGCATTGACTCTTCTTTGGAATAGACAGAGTAAATGGGCTGTCTGTCTTTCTCCTCCATTAGGTTTTATTTGCTCTGTATCTGCATGGTTAGTTGTGACTAAAATTCAATTTAATTCAATTAGTATTGAAACAACTGGATCAGATGTATCGATGCTTGTTGGAAATGTAGTTGCTTTACTCTCTCCGATCGTATTCGTACCCATTATTTCGTTTATTGCACCTGATCCAACACCTTATGACTTCGTTTCGATGAGAGCAATTGAATTAGTTGACGATGGTTCAAGAAACACTCGTCATCCGTCTCTTGGAGAAACAGAACGTGGAATTGTTTTTTTGACAGGAAAATTAAAATTTGCACGTATTATAGCTGTCGTTCTCACATCGTGTCTCGTCATTATTTTGCCATTTCCCATGTATGGAACTGCATATGTCTTTAGTAAATCTTTCTTTACCGGTTGGGTTAGTATTGGAATTATTTGGATGTTTTTTTCATTCTGTATTGTCGGAATTTATCCAATTGTTGAAAATCGTAAGACAATTTTATTCGTCTGCAAGAAAATCTATAACGATTTAACGATAAGTATACAACACGTCGCCAAAGTGCACACGGACCATACTATTTCCAATACGCAAATGAACGCTTTAGCAGTATCAACTATTGACAATTCTCATAACAGTATTTAATGATTTTATTTAATGAATGTATAGAAAACTGTTGTAATCTTATGAGTCTTTATATAATCATTATAATAAACTATTATCGGTACTTCAATTTTTCTTGACGGTGTGGGTGTGGGTATTTTATTTCATCCACACCCACACTTTAGATGTTCAATATCTCATCCAAGTCTCTCGGTAGTCCAAAACTATTTCTAATCCAAGATTCGCCGCACTTATGTTTCAGTCCGATCTTAGTATGGACGTATATTCTATATTTTATCTAAGAGTGACCTGAAGAAATGTTCGTCCAATATGGGGTTCAATATATAGGACGCGTCTAATCCTCGGATCCCATATTCGCCTAGGCCAATCTGAGACTGGACGAAATATCAATTTGGACGCTGACATACACATCGGTCATTTCTTATTCTTTCACCTCTCTTTGTTCATGTTTTCAGTTTCTTTCTTGACCTCTTCGTTTTCCTATCCGTTCGTCATTATTCTTATATTCATTCTATTTAAATACAGCACGAACCAGTAGTTGTTCCATTACAATATTCATTCTCGAAATAAAATAGTTTCGAAAGAGATTTAATTATTTTTCTTCATTATTATTTGAGAAAAGACTAACAAACTGAACAAATTCAATGGTTAGTTACCAGAATAATCAATACTTTAAATAATTCTTGTTAATATTTAGCCTGAACCAGAGAGTAAAAACAATATTAAACAATCTATTCATCCACAAACAGGATCGTAAGTATTTGATTTATTTATGCGAAATATATCTATGATTTTAGATCTTTGTTTCATCGGAAAACAATATTGATTTTAATTATCATTGCCATTCTTAGTCTAATCACTATCATTGGTATTACAATAATTTCTATTTACATTACAAAGGCCGAAACAACAATTAATAAAATTACAACTACAACCGATGCGTCTACAACAAAGATAACAATAAATGGTAGAGTTTTTTTGTTATAAAAGAAAAAATAAGCTCCACATATAAATTTCAAATCTGTAGCTTATTTATGCATGCATATTTTACCTAATGATATTTGAAATTATATAGTCGTCCAAAAAAAGTTAATAATTAAACACAGAACAAATCTGTTATGAAATGGGAAGTGCTATTTCCAAAACAGAATAATAGTACTCAGCACCCACAAGTAACACTCTCAAAATAGAACAAAAGTACTCAGTATCTGAAAGTATTATTTTCATAACAGAACAATTCTGTTCTATTTTTGGGAATTTTGAGGTGTGGGTATATCAGAAGAATCACCCAACCCTAAAAGATAAAATTTATTTCTAATTGAAATATTTTAAATCATTATTAATTTGTTTTATTTCATACAAATTTTTCAATTCAAATCACTTCTTTTATTGGCAAATATTCTAAAACGTTTCTTTTTTCTTTCTTTATTCTCTTTTCCAATCAGATATTTCTCAATTTGTCTCAAAAATAAATTATCTTTCAATAAAAATGCATCTTCAAAGTTTTCATTCTAAAACATACAATTTTCAAACACGTTTCTTTTCAAAACAAAAGATTTCTTCATTTCATTTTAATGAGTTTTATACAAAAAAAAAGCAATGAAGGATTTTTTTTATAGAAATTGTTTTGATCTAAATTTCTTGTTTTCGTCCTTTTCTAGAACCAAAATTCAGCAAATGGAAACAAAATGCTATCACTGTGGCTGGTGGAAATGGAGAAGGACAACAATTAAGTCAAATCGATCACCCTTTTGGAATCTTTATTGATGAAAAGAAAAATATTTTCATTTCTGATCGTTTTAATCATCGTATTTTTGAATGGAAATATAATGCCAAAGAAGGACAAATCATTGCAGGTGGAAATGGACAAGGAAATCGAATGGATCAATTGAATTATCCAACAAATATGATTGTTGATCAACAAAATCATTCGGTCATCATTGCCGATTCTCAGAATAGACGAGTGATTCAATGGTTGAATCAGAAGCAACAAATTCTCATTCACAATATTGACTGTTATGGTTTGGCAATGGATAAACATGGATTTCTTTATGTTTCTGATGCTGGGAAGAATGAAGTGAGACGATGGAAAATAGGAGAATACAACAATGAAGGGATTGTAGTGGCAGGTGGAAATAGAAGAGGAGATTACCTTAATCTACTCAATTTTCCTACTTTTATCTTTGTTGATGAAGATCAATCTGTTTATATATCAGATCATGAGAATCGTCGTGTAATGAAATGGATAAAAGATGCCAAAGAAGGAACAATTGTGGCTGGAGGAAATGGCGGAGGAGATAATCTTAATCAATTGTATTATCCTCAAGGAGTAGTTGTTGATGATTTGGGTCAAATCTATGTGGCAGATTATGGAAATGATCGAATAATGCGTTGGTGTGAAGGAAAAGAAGAAGGTGAAGTTGTTGTTGGTGGAAATGGTCATGGAAATCAATCAAATCAATTGAATGGTCCCATAGATTTATCGTTTGATGATGAAGGAAATCTTTATGTTGCTGATATTGGAAATCATGGAATTCAAAAATTTGAAATAATATTGTGAATGAAATTTTGATTTTGAAACAAAGAAAAGAACTTTTTGTTAAATAAAAAATCGAAAAATAAAAATAAAAATAAAATAAAAAATAAAATTTCAAGAAAAAGAAATTGAGGATGGGTGTGAGTGTACAAAAGGAAAAAGCCAATTACACTCACATTCTAAAAAGTGTGAGTGATACCTTTAAGAAATTTATTGAACAATTGAATTCAATTTTCAAGTATTATACTACTGCAGTCACACCGACACCCACATACATACTTTTCTCTTTTTATTATATGCTGTCGGTGTGAAAGAGATCGACCATTTCATTTAAGAAACTGTGATAAAGAAAATCATTTTTAATAAAAAAGTGACAAGCTGATAGTGATGACTGTTTTTAATTACAGAAAAATTCAAAAGCATCTGTTAAGTATTTACAGAACGTTTGTCAATACAGACAAACGTAGACACACAACTTGTTATATTTTAATGAAAAAATTTCTTGATCACTTTCAAAAATGATCCTCGAAGAAAGAGAAACTGGTTGTGGATGTAGATTCTGATGAAGATCTACATCCACATCCATTACTGTTCAAAATATAACTATAGAGAACTACTTTCTTCAGAGCTTATGTACATTTAAATCTATGATGTGGTGGCGCTGCAAGAAGAAAACCGGTGCTTACTTGTCAACAATCATGATCAATAAATGGATATTAACTTTTCTCGTTCGTCATCGACAATAATATTTGTTCAATCAAACGTTTTAATAACTTTTCTCTTTATCAAAAACAAACAGGGCATGGTGGATAGTCTACAATAAGACTATATGCTAAGTCATTCGACTTTCACTCTCCGAGACCAATGGCACTTCTAGTAATAATTTTCTTCTTCACTCTTTCGATCAGTTAGAGTCTTAAGTGTATCAAACGGGGAGAACCATTGAAGCTGTTACTCATCAACTACAACTCTAAAAAATTTGAAAAAACAATCAACGATCTTGGTGGTGGCATGCGTGTTCGCTGTCGCGTTGAACTGTCCATTGTTTATGGATGTAGGTGTGGGTGAGTGTGTAGTCGCTCCTGTGTTGAACCAAAGAGAACTTCTACGTCCACCTCCTCACTCACACCCACACCCTTCGATTTATTCTTGATGAAAGTAATGCAGTTTGTTCTAGATCTATATTTGTTTCAATAGCGTCATGGAAGATATTAATGATCAACCCGAAGGTCATCTAGATCCATCGACAGATGATTTATCTCCGTTGATAAAAAAACGATTAAGTTTAATAGATGATATAGAAAAAGATCAACAACAACAATTATCACCATTACGAAAGCGACAACTATCGAATGTATCTGTTTGTTCTTTATTGGATGTCGAAACTGACCATGAAGCCATAGAGTCATTGGAATTATTGCTAAACAGTGTTGTCAAGATCTTTTGCAATTCAATTCCATACAATTTTCATTCGCCTTGGTAAGGTCTATCCTTAAATTGTACTGTTTTGTTTTAACAGATATTTATATCTTTTAAGAGAATTCATGCTCTTGATAGCCATACGGCAGTTTAACTTAGTTTCTTATAGCCGTCCTTCTTTTTGATGTATTAAAGAAAAATAGCTAAATTAGTTTGTAGTTGTTAAAAGGTTCACTGAGGAAAGTAACTATTGATATCACATTCTATCAGGAATTATGCAGTGTATATTTGAATTGAACTCATCTTTGTATTTAAGCATAGATTAGATTTTTCATGGAGCTGTATTCTAAACGAAAAATATTTCAAGACATTAGAGTGGGTCGAAAGCTCTGAGATCATATGTATACAAATGAGAATTACACGTTCTCATTCTGAATATGCAACTAGAAATTGTATATCTATTTTTTTAAAGGAGAAAATCTTTGATTAGCATAAAAAATATGGCCTGTATGGAAGTGTTCAATCGAAATTTTTCAACAATATTTTCTTTTTGTATTTTTTACTTTAGGCAAGTGCAACCCCAAGTGGCTGTCAGACTATCAGGGTTTATAATAAAAGACCGGTGGATTTTATCTAATGCTCATGGCATTTCAAATCACACTACTATTCGTATTCAAAAACATGGTGATCCGAAAAAATATCCTGGACGTATATTATACATTGCACATGAATGTGATCTGGTTATATTGACTGTTGATAACGATCACTTTTGGGTTAATGTAGAGCCGTTGACATTCACTGATAAGATACCTCGATTACAGGAATCAATAATAGTTGTTGGTTATCCAGTTGGTAAAAATAATTTACGTTTTTTCCTGTATGCTAATATCGTTGACATATGTGTATAGGTGGTGATAATTTATCGATAACAAAGGGTGTCGTTTCAAGAGTTTGTATGGCATTTTACTCACATTCATTAGAGTATTTGTTAAAAATACAAATCGATGCTGCAGTCAATTCTGGTAATAGTGGTGGACCGGCTATTCAAGGTATGAAAGAAAAAAATTTTGATGAATTAGTTCATTGCTTTTTTGCATTTTCTTAGGTAAAATGACTATAAATACATACTAAGAAATAATTAGAGCCAAGTAAAAGGAAAGTCACTATTACGCACTCTTGAATAGTTCCGTTTTTTATTGATTCTATATGCTTCTCATAAAGTGACGGTAATAAGAATCGAAAGAAGTTGTTCCTTCAAAAAGTATTTGTGATGTTAACTCCTCTAACTACGACACGGTTTTTCTGCAAGTTTTTACATAACTATAAAGTTATTTATAACTCAAATTCATCAGACTGACACGTTCACCTTCTATGCATCTTAGTGATCACATTAGCAGCAAAGACTTCACATAGTTGTGCTTTCCAAGGGACAAATCATCTTTCGCCAAATGCTGACTTATCAGAAAACAAACGAAAATCTGTTCTCGATCGGCTTCATACAATGCATCTTTATTTGTGTTTTGATTTTTTTCGCATAGGTAAACAGGTTGTCGGCATGTCATTTGAAGTTAGGAATGGCGCTCATTCAGTTGGTTACATTATACCAGTATTAGTAATCAAACATTTGTTAGATGATATTGAAAAGCACGGTAGATATACCGCTTTTCCTAGAATGATCTTTCAATACCAGTCAATGGAAAATTCATCATATCGCAAATATTTAAAACTAAATGATGATCAACATGGTATCTTAGTGACATCATTTGATCTGGCATGTATTCTTAGCAAACTATTACAGAAAGATGACGTAATTTTGGCTATAGATGATGAATCAATTGCTGATGATGGTACGATCTATTTTCGTCGTGGTGAAAGACTTAACTTTCAACATTTAATGAAATTAAAATTTGTTGGTGATACAATTACCTTTAAAATTATAAGAGAAGGTAGCAAATATAGGATTTTACAATTTTCACTTTTCAGAACAACCGAAACAATTTCATCTATCGAGTAGTTTTCGTAGAGATGCAGCAAATCCTGGGATACATACGCTTATAATATTGCTAACCAGTCGTGCCCCCAAGGATGGGCTGAGCCCCAGAGTTGTACCCAGTTCAGACCGGTTGTAATGACTGCAGCGGTCGATCTGCGTCGCTTTTTGTCGGTTTGAAGATCGGACAAAACACCCCTGGTACCCCTCAGACATTTGTCAAGAAATGGATTTTATAGCTTTTTAGCTATGCAATTGTTTTGGGCAAAGTACGTCGCAAATAAGTTTAAGTTGTTCCATCAAAAGGTTAATAATAAAATTTGGCAAAAACGCAAGAAAAATGATTATTTTTCAAGTCTTTCCCTTTAATCAGTAGTGTAGAGTGTTGGCGACTCTTCCTCATCCACACCCCATCTACCGGACCGGTTTAAAATTTCTATACTAGTTACAATTCTACTAAGCCCGCCCTGAGTGAAAACTTTGGCGCAGCTTCTGTTGCTAACAATAGTTTACTATATTAGAGATGGTGTAAAATCAAGCAGATTTTGATAGTCTTTTTTACTTCATGTAAAATAAGGGGAAAAGGATCGATTCTGAAGATTTTGAACTCAACGCAGTACGATGTGAGTCTCCAAAATTCCGGGCGTATACCATTCACCATTTTCTTTTTGCATTTCACGCTTCGCGGGTGAAATCAGTCCATTGTTTTTTTTTATTTGAAATTTCTGTTTAATTTTTAGGACAAGAAATAACATTAACAAGTTCACTCGATAAGACTCCCGCACTTGTTCCATGGCATTCACATGATAAACGTCCAGAATATTTAATTTACGCTGGAATTGTATTCACAGTATTAACTCGCTTTTTTTGTATGAATGGGGTAAAGACGTCTGGGACGAAAAAGCTCCAAAACATTTAGTTACCTTAGCATGTAATGGTACATTACAAGAATTAACTCAACAAATTGTTGTTATTAATCAAATACTTGCTGATGATGTTAATTATGGAATAGATTCAGATGTTAAATATGCTGTATTAAAAACTGTCAATGGGATCGAAATTAATAATATTAAACATCTAGCAGAATTAATTGATGAAATATCAAATAAGAAAGATGATGCTTTTATTCGATTTGAAATGGAAACCAAAGAAATTATTGTTATTGAATGTAAAGAAGCTAAACAATCAGAAGAAAGAATTTTAACACAAAATTCAATAGCTCATGCAAGAAGTGAAAATTTACGTTAATCTTCCTTCAGAATGAGGACGCAAAAGAAATCTTGATTAACAATCTCGTCTTTGTTTGAGGGTGGATAGATGTGGGTGTGTTTAAATCTGATAAATAAACGAATTTAAACATGAGTATTCATATCTTCTATCTACAGAGGGTGGGTGTGGGTATCTTCTCTTTCTACCAATCTGCACACCCAAAATATTTCAACGATTGAATAAATCAATGATGATTAAAATATCCTTTTAAAAATGTAAAACTATGAATAAATGATCAAATAGAATTTTATTCAATCTCACAAATTGTTACTTCCATCTATTTATTTACAGTAGAACTTTTCTATAGTGAGTATTGAACAGATCTTTTCAAAGAATAATATTATAAAAAAAAGAGATGTTTATTGAAAAGAAAATTATCAGTTTAAATAATTTACAAAACTAGTTTCTTTTTCTTTATATTAATTAATGAAGAGAGATATTTGCTGTGATCAGTGTTATAAAAACACTTTTTGATAAACGTTCATATAAATGAATTTATATAAGAACATATTGAAAACTTTCTTTGTTATATTATGATTATATACTAATGATAAATTCATGAATAAAATTATATATTATCATTTTCTGATAAACTTATGAAGAAATTATATTCTATTTAAGTTCATTGAGATTTATATGATTATTTTACAAAATCTTTGTCAAATTGTTTCATTTCGATTGAATTTCTTCTATCAATCGACTTTTACTAGTTTTTTTCTTTGATATTTCCAATATATTAATCATCATAATGAAATCAATACACGTTCTATATTTATAAACTTCATTAAATAAAACACAAATATAAAAATGTACAGTTTTACGAAATTTTTCATTTTATTTGAAATGTTTGATAAAAAATATTTTTCTAAATATTCATATAAAAAATGGTAAATGAAAATTAATAATAAAATCAAATGAAATATTAAAAATCAGAAAATTAAATTAATTTCTAATTTAAATATGTTAAATTCTTATTAATTTATTTTATTTTATTTTATACAAACCTTTTAATTAAAATTATTCTCGTTTTTTTTTTATTATCTAAATTTCTTTAAGAAAAAATATCAACAAAATCTTTTCTCTTCAAATTACGTGTTTGTCAATTTATTTCAAAAATAAATTCCCTCTCTTCAAAATTTTGACTTCAAAAAATATAAATTTCAAACTCTTTTTTTTATTAAACAAGGGTGGGTCAGGGCGTTGTTAGCTTCTTCATCCACAACCACACCTACACCAACCCTCTTAAAACTACCCACTCCTGGTCTTATTCATACATATTTCACTCTTTCAAAATATACTAATACCACTTGAATCTTAACTTTATTTCATGATTCTCTACCCGTTTTTCAATTAGATTTTTGTTGTATTCTTCGCAGAATAGAATCAGAACGATTAGAAGAAATGAAATCGATATGTGAATAGATGCATCTGTTATATTTCAATTGTGTTGACTTAAGATATTATTATCTGTATCTCAGATATAAAAACGCATATTTTCTCATTATATTCTCTTATTCTAAAATCAACTATGAATAAAATCAGAATTCATTCTTATATTGTTTTCATTATTCTCAGGTAAATAATTATTCATTTTTATCATTCATTTTGTTAACATTCATTAGTTTTATATTATAGCATAACAGGTTTGATTTTTATTCTATTTTTTGCCTGTTTATATGTATTAGTTTATTACTTTCATAGTTCAAGTTAAACCTCAAATATGTGGGAAAACACCTCAATATGGTGAATGCTCGACAAACAGTGCATGTGGATACTTTCATATGGTAGGTGCTAACAATGATACAGGTATTTGTGGTTTTCGCTGGCTAGCATGTTCTCGTCTATTACTGTGTAATTCTTCGGACAATTCGTGTTCTCAATCTAATACGAACTGTGTTCAACATCCGCAATGTAGTAATCTTCCTGTATGTTACCCAGTCACAATGACTGATCAAAGCATCTGTCCACCAACGAAAAGTGAGTAGATCGCATTGTATGACAGATGCAACATTCTTATTTATACTTTTAAGATATTTGAAACTATAAATTTGACCTGTTTTAGATAAAATCAATCTTCAATGGAAACAAAATGCCATCACTGTGGCTGGTGGAAATGGACATGGACAACAACTAAATCAACTCATTGGCCCTTTCGGAATCTTTACTGATAAAAATAATAATATTTTCATTGCTGATCATGGCAATCATCGTATTGTTGAATGGAAATATAATGCCAAAGAAGGACAAATCATTGCAGGTGGAAATGGTGAAGGAAATCGAATGGATCAATTGAATTCTCCAACAAATATGATTGTTGATCAGCAAAATCATTCAATCATCATTGCTGATTATCTGAACAGACGAGTGATTCAATGGTTGAATCAAAAGCAACAAATTCTCATTGATAATATTAACTGTTGGGGCTTAGCAATGGATAAACATGGATTCTTTTATGTTTCTGATCAGGGGAAGAATGCAGTGAGACGATGGAAAATGGGAGAATACAACAACGAAGGAATTATAGTGGCAGGTGGAAATGGAATAGGGAATCAACTCAATCAATTTAATGTACTTAGTTTTATCTTTGTTGATGAAGATCAATCTGTTTATGCATCAGATAGAAACAATCATCGTGTGATGAAATGGAGAAAAGATGCAAAAGAAGGAACAGTTGTGGCCGGAGGAAATGGTGAAGGAGACAATCTCAATCAATTGTCTAGACCTCATGGAGTAGTTGTTGATGATTTGGGTCAAATCTATGTGGTAGATACGTGGAATCATCGAGTAATGCGTTGGTGCGAAGGCAAAAAAGAAGGTGAAATTGTTGTTGGTGGAAATGGTGAAGGAAGTCAATCAAATCTATTATATCAACCCAGAGGTTTATCTTTTGATGATGAAGACAATCTTTATGTTTCTGATTATGGAAATCATCGAATTCAAAAATTTGAAGTAATTTTGTGAATGGATTTTTGATTTAAAAAAAAAAAAAGTTTTATTGACTAAATAATCAAGAAATAAAAGAAAAAATGAGGTTTTTTGTTGTAAATCAGTGAGAAAAATCGATTAAAGCTTGAAAAAAAAGAAATATTTTACGAAAAACTGAGAATAAAAATTTGAAAACAGAAAAAATAAAAACGAAAGAAAAATGAACAAGAGATTGAAATAAAATAAAGCGCTGATACTAAATGTTATGAAATGATCCAGAATTTAAATTTGATTTTTATTAATAAAAGAGATTTGTTTTATTTTTCAAAGAAATTAAAATAAATATTTCATAATTTCTTTATCAAATTGAATTCATTTCAATTTCAAATGAAAAATTTCAACATTTTCTTTATTTTTCATTGATATTTGATGTAATAAAATCAATTTGAGGATGTGAGTATTAGTTTTATTACTGTTTGATCTATATTGTCATTTCAACAGTCGCATTTCTCAAGAAAAACGTCTGATTAGAATAATTAAAGAAATGATCGATTAAATAATTCAAAATATTTTTATGAATAATGAAAAAAATGTTCATCATCAGATTTCAATTAATTGAAGTTGATAAACATTTAATACAAAGATTGCGGATTTAAGTGTCCCTTGTCGATCTAATAAGAACTCCGACATCCACACCCTCGGATAATTAAGAAAACGAATAAATTTGTATAACATTCAATTTACTTTTAGATTTTACAGAATTTTCTTAGATTATTATTTGATAAAACAAATAAATTCTTCTTCAATAGTTTAATTCTTCATCATAATAAAATATTTGAATTTTATCGATTGAATTCTTACCGAACGGTAGAAAATGGCGTTGTTTTTAAGAAAGTATTAAATATTTTACAATGTCAGTCTCAGTATGATGTTTTCTTCTTCGTTCTCTTCTGCATGTCAATATAGAACAAAAGAAATGATTGATATACTATATTTACTTAGAACTATGTTAATATGATAATAAATATTCATCATGATGAATAATTTCAAAGGATAATAAAATAATAAGTTTAGTTGATTTTGTTAAATGTGAATGTGACATTACTAATTCTTTTGTTTATCTATTCATTTCTCATAGATTTTATGATATTTATATTGTTAAATAGTATTTGATGAAGATTTATTTTGAAGATCAACAACTACACTTTTCTTATCATTTATCTAATGTGTGAAATAAGAATAAAATCAATTATACAACACATTTCTGACAGCATATGATATCTTTCAACTAAATACAAAATAATAAAAATGTTTTGTTGTTGAGGAAGCGTCGTATTTCCTTCGTTAAGGCATGATTTCTGATGTATTCTTAACAAAAATAATATTAAATTTTGTTTTCACATCCTTCCTACAAACATTTCAATATCATGAACATTTTTTTATATTTACAGCAAATAATGTCTGACATTTCATATCAGTTTTGACAAAGGAAATGAATTCATTGTTTTTCTCTGTTGATAAACTCAAATGTTGTGTTTATTGCAAATATTTAATAAAAAAAGAAAGTTCCCATTAACATCATTATGTAGGCGAATAGACGGAAAAAAAATAAACTTCATGTTCAGTTTTCAATAATATAGAGAAGAGTTTTTTTATCATTCAAGTTAATTATCGAAGAATGTAACTAAAAAGAAACAACTTGTTTTATTCAATATTAATCATTAGGAATTAAATGAAGTTCTTCTCATTTTATTTATTTCTTTATTTTGTCATTATATTTAATAAAATCATCAACTATATTCGACATTCTTTAAATTATTCAATATCAAGAAATGGATTCTCAAATAATATTTTTCACTTTATTTTTACGAATTTGTTTGATTTAAAACAAAAATAATAATGAGTGAAGAATTCTGATACTTACTGTATACAAGCGTTTTTATGTAAAACATCATAGGTCGATAAAAACAACAAGATCACTTTCTTTTTTCAGATCAATTTTGAATAGAATATAATCTATTGTAAATATTGAAATCTACGAAGTAGTATGTGAAACTAAACTAGTTGAAACAAGAGTTAGTTTCTGTAGAAAAACAAAACTGAAAATCAGCACTGTGTGAAGGAAATGCGACGTTTCCTAAGAGAAAAGAATGTATTTTATTATTTTTCATTCATATAAAAGTCTATAGAGTTAAGCTTTAACTACATTTTTATTTATCAAATTATTGTCGATAAAATATTAATTCAGTAATAGATTAAGATGAGTATAAGATTTATTGATGAGAGTGTGGATGAATTAACATCAGGATAAGAATAATACACTCATCTGTTAAATTATCATTCTCATATTCATTCCAAAAAAAAAGAACGGATTTCATGGTATTGTACAAGACTTGACGATTGATGTAACTGCTGTTTCCTTTGTGTTCACTTTCTCTACATAAATGTTCAATCAGAAATTAAGAAACAAGGCAAAAATATAATATCCACAATCGCCGCGACAGTCACATCTAAATGTAATTATTCAAAGAATCTACGTATTCTACATGACTATGATTGTAATTAAAAGCATGATAAAAGTTTTCTCTATTGATTAGTCATATCTAGTAGACTATAACTAAGCGAGGATCAAGTATTAATTATTTTTGTTTTCTTGAATATTCTATTTCGGGTTCCAATTAAATCATTCAGCTATTCTGGAAATAATTAGTGCATGCCATGAAATCAAATTAAAGTCCATTTCTGATCATAAATATTATCTAATTCTCAATTTATTTAGAAGAATCGTTGTGTATAATAAAACATTTCAACGTCACTTTTTTTTCTCTGTGAGGAAATGTTGCATATCCTCTGAACACCGCTGATTTTCAATGTTTTATTAACTAATAATTATATCAAATGTTGTCTCAAACAGTTTCATATTTATAAGAGATAAGAACTATCTGGAAAGAGTTTTTTATTTGAAAATTAAAAGTGAAAAAGGAAATGAGCTGATTGTTTTTATTGATATATGATGTTGTATATTAACACGATAATCTACGTCAGAAAAGAACTGATTATTTAAGAAAGAGAAAGAGAGAGCATGATAAATATTTTTTCTATTTTCTAGTTGAAATTGGAATGAAAAACTTCGAAGAGTAGTCGATGAGGAATATTAGATATTACTTGAAATATAGATTTCAACAATTAACGAGAAATATAAATGATTTTTTTGTGAAAAAATATTCAGATAAACAGTTTAGCTTCTTTGTAATCATATTATTAATGACTAAAATTTTTTTTTGTTGTTGATTTTAGATTGTAAAATTATTAAACTATCAACAAGATATCAACAATGATCAACAACAACAGAATCGGAGTTGATAATGATGTAATTTATTGAGAAAAAGAAAAATCATAAAATATAATATTTGTTGTTTTTTTGATTATTTTAGTCTGAAATAGTTACTTCGAATGCAACGGAACCAAAAAAATTGTATGTATCTTATAAAATTATAGACAATAATAAAATAAGATGTATTATTCTAGATGTGAATATCTGAAAAGAAAAAAAGTGATGTGCATCATAGTTATTATCATTGTGTTTGTTATAATTATAACAACTTCAATTGTTATCTGCAAAACAAAAAAGACAAACAGTGAACAAACATCAATAACAGAAGAAACAACAATTCAAATAACAGAAAAAATAACAATTGAAACAACAGAAAAAATGGAAATAACAACAGGTAGTTAAAATAAGATAATTATTTATTTTGAAGTTAATAGACGAAAAATTATTTCAAATGACCGAAGTAGAACTTCATTGTTTATCATAACTAGGGATATACCGAGCCCAAGAGCCTCGGGCTTGGTCAGGCTCAGGGCTCGGTCAGGACCCGGGGTTTGATCATGCTCAGGGCTTGGGGCTGGATCAGGCTCGGTCAGGATCGGGCTCAGGTGTCGAAATTGATGTAGGAGTGGGTGAGTGTGGGTGAAAACAGTAAGTGAGAGTAAAAAAGACAGTACCAGCACTCACCACACCCACATCCTCCCACTGCCACATCAATTCTGACGCCCGAGCTCTAACTGAGCCCCCAGCCCGAGAGGCTTAGTCAGAGTTCAGGTTCAGTACATCCCTAATTATAACAACTTATACATGATACTGCTAAGCAACAATATCAAAAATTGTTCTGAGATTCATAATGGAATTTTTATCATGTAGAAGAAGATTTATTAAGAATAAGTCTCTGAGAAAATCAGATATGAATGATGATTCGACATCTCAGATTTCACTTAATATTTTTTGTATGTTATAGATAGTAGTAACGTTAGTGTTAGCTGACATTTCCAGTTCGATTGTATTACTCCTTCTTATTTCTGAGAGATATCGAGTTTTGTAATAAATTAAATTAAAGAACAAAACATCTAACTAAAGCCATCGCCCGAAAGCAAACCTTTTTGAGTCAAACTGTTTGTTTCGAGGTTTGTTTTTCGAATTCCACTTTGAAGATATCCTAGTAAACGAAATCTCTGTGGGACTTGAAATGGCCCTATTCAAACTAAAGAATCAATATTAGCAAATATTGCAAAAATAACAAAAAAAGACAGAAATTTATTCGATGAAACAAAATTGGCATTGACGTGTCTCAAAAAGAATTTGATCGATATTGTATATAAATTTACAGCGCATTGTCCAAGATCTTAGACAATAAATAAGAAATGAAGCTATTCTGGCAGCTCTGATTACGACTCAATGATTTTATGTTGAAGTTTTTCTCTGTACGTCAAAGAATCTCTTAACAGTATAACTAACTGCATTGCAATAATCAATAGTTTTGAAAAGCAAGCGATGAACTAGACCGACATGAATTGATTCCTTTTTATGATAGTTTCACATAAACTGTTAGCTTTGACCGTTGAATTAGGATAAGTTTCTGGCTGGAATGTCATCTTGAATGAAAACGAAATATTTCAAGAACAGTAGAAGTATACAAATGTTACATTATTAAACTTATAAAAAATGTAAAATGAGTTGTCAAAATTATTATAGTAGAGATGTGCTTAAAGTAAAGATCATAGAATTGCAATTATAATGTAAGGCATATAAAGATTTTCTACGTTATTATAATGCACTAATAGTCACGGTCGATAGATTGTAAGAGAAGAAGGAGACAAAAGAAATAAGGAATAAAGCCTTATTCAATTATTAAGTTTCTTTCTAAACTCATTTTTGTAATCTAGCATCACCTACTACATCAACTTCAACAACAACGTCAACTTCAACAACAGCATCAACGTCATCAACAACAACGTCATCAACAACAACGTCATCAACAACGTTATCAACGACAACCGCGTCAGGTTAGTAGTAGGCTGGATGATTTGTAATAGCCTAAACGATGAAAACCACAGGTAACCAAATCTAAAAGTTTTGATTTTAGCTGTCCGATTCTTCTCATTTAGATATAGAACATTAGAGAGCTTTCTATGAGAGCTGCAAACAGGCTCAATTTTTGATGACTTGATTTTATCTATGCTAGTCGATTGCGATGATACTATACGAATATATTGTTGATAAAAAGAATCTCACATGGTAGAACTCAATGATCGCTTCAGAAACTCCTTATGACATCGGGAAAAGTTGATAAAGATAGATACTATGACTGAATAAAGCCACATAACGTCATTGCTTGTAAATATCCATCCAAATGAAAAGAGATACGCCTTCTATCTGACCCCAAGGTTATGAGTAATATCATGCATCAACCAAATCATGTAAGAAATGTAAGAAATGTAATATTTATTGAGTCATTTTTGAAGACTTATGTCCAGTGCTATTTGTAGCTATCACTATTTCTCGTAGTACACTGTCAGCACGATTCTATTACAAGTACCATATCTATCAATTACTCACATTATAATTTAGGCAAACTCGCATACTAAACATTTCTAGCTGATCATAGTTGGTTATTTGAGAGCAGAAGTGAATCCAAGAAAAATCCTCTTTTATAATTGAAACAGTAGGTTTTAATCTATATTTATATATGATATGATCAGTGTTTAATCTGATTTATTGGTATGGTTATACACGTAGAAGTGTCAATTGATATGAACACTTAATCTCATGTTTTAGGTAGCATTTATATAGAATCGAGGTGTTTAAAAGAAATTGTAGTTGGATAAAATACTAACTTAACACTCGAGAAGCACATCTTGCATAAACATCAACATTTGACCACTGATACATCGATTTTTTCATGAGAATGATGTGAGCATGATATTCTTTCATGCACAGTCACATCCATTCCAGCGGCGAAGCCCGGATGTTGAGCTGGGGGAGGGGAGGGCTCAGTCCCCATAACCGTTTCGGTTCATCTTAAGAAGCATAATTTTTTTACGCAACCAGTACAAAAATTTTTTTCACTTTTTCACACTAGGTTGAATAGAGCTCGTCGAGTTGAGTAAGCATTGGTCAGTTTTTATATTTTTTCCAAAGTGCTGAAAGACTCATTTTATTGAAAAAAAAGATTAAAAAAACTCATCTTTTAATGTTTTTTTTCAATTTTAGAGAGCTTTTATATTTATTCGGACTATGAAAATAATATATTTAGATTTATCGTGAAAAACTACATCGATCTGACCTTTTTTTTTGATATTCCTTAGTGAAAATATGCTTGTGAAATGAAGAGATTCAAAAGTAAAAAGAACATTAAAAGATGAGTTTTTTTAATGTTTTTTTCAAGAAAATGGATCTTTCAGAACTTTGGAAAAAATGTAAAAACTGATATATTCTTACTCAGCTCGACGAGCTCTATCCAGCCATGTGTGAAAAAGCGAAAAAACCTTTTGCTTTAGTTTTGCATTGTTTGCACCTCTCGTTATCGAACGAGTGAAATATGAAACTGAGAAATCCCTAGAATCAAGCTGAAGCTCATATTAAATGTGTTTTGATTTGCTTAAAAAGTACATATGATTTTCACACAATAAGGTATATCTCATACAATATTCCACTACAAAGAATAATAAGATTTTGCATCAGAAAAATATATTTTTCAAAAACTTGCTAGGGAGGGGGTGGTTGAGTGCCCTCCTCCTCCCGACTCTGTCACTGGTTTTATTTACAATTCTACTTCAACAAAAAAACAAATTCAAAGTTTCATTGAAAACTAATCTTTTTTTTTTTCTTAGATAAAAAACAATTTTCTTCTTCATTCCATCATAATCTTTCGTTTTCATTCTTTTCTAGAATCAAAATTTAACAAATGGAAACAAAATGCCATCACTGTGGCTGGCGGAAATGGAGATGGACAAAAATTAAATCAACTCAATTACCCTCAAGGAACCTTTATTGATAAAAACAAAAATATTTTCATTGCTGATTCTAGCAATCATCGTATTGTTGAATGGAAATATAATGCAAATGAAGGACAAATCATTGCTGGTGGAAATGGCTATGGAAATCAAATGGACCAATTGTTTTCTCCATTAGATGTAATTGTTGATGAACAAAATCATTCGATTATCATTATTGATTTTGGGAACAGACGAGTGAGTCAATGGTTGAATCAAACTCAGCAAATTCTCATTCACAATATTTCCTGTTGGGGCTTGGCAATAGATAAAAATGGATTTCTTTATATTTCTAGTAGTGAGAAGAATGAAGTGAGACGATGGAAAATGGGAGAATATAACAACGAAGGAATTATAGTGGCAGGCGGAAATGGAAATGGAGATGAACTCAATCAACTCGATCATCCTACTTTTCTCTTTGTTGATGAAGAGCAATCTGTTTATGTATCAGATAGGGATAATCATCGCATAATGAAATGGGGAAAAGATGCAAAAGAAGGAACAATTGTGGCTGGAGGAAATGGTGAAGGAAGAAGTCTCAATCAATTGTCTTACCCTCAAGGAGTCATTGTTGATAACTTGGGTCAAATCTATGTGGCAGATTCCATGAATGATCGAATAATGCGTTGGTGTGAAGGAAAAGAAGAAGGTGGAATTGTTGTTGGTGGAAATGGTGAAGGAAATCAACTAAATCAATTACATCATCCTTTTGGTTTATCCTTTGATGGCGAAAGAAACCTTTACGTTGCTGATTTGAGAAATCATCGAATTCAAAAATTTGAAATAATTTTGTGAATGAAATTTTGATTTTGAAATTAAGAAAAAAATTTTTTTGTTTAATAAAAAATCGAGAAATAAAAATAAAATAAAATAAAAGATCAAGTTTTATTATTGAAAATCAATGAAGAAATCAAATAAATTTTGAAGAAAAAGAAATATTTTGATAAGAAAACAATAGAGAAAGCTTTTTGTGTACTCAAAAAGTGAGTACACTACTAGAATCGGTCAGTATGGTCATCCGACCGTTTACACGATAACGCACGAAAGGAGAATCAGATTGTAATGAAATTTTCAACACAATCCAGTCTCATCTAGGTCTCGGTCGAGTTCGAAGATGAGCCTAATTGGTCGGGCCATTCTCGAGTTATTGCAAAAACACTGATATTTCTCTATGATTCCCATATGCACTTTTTGCAGTACACATAACTCTCGGATAAAATCCAAAGTTTCCATATTTATTTTTTCATCAAAATTAAATTAAATTTGATAATTTTGGTTAAACAATTCGAATAAATAAATATTAAATAAATCATATTTTTATTGATTTTTGTCGAATTTACAGAAATAAACAGAAGAAAATAATTTATAATTTGAATTAAGTTGAAATAAAAATCGAATTAAATTGAATTTTATCGAGCAAAAGTAATGCTGAAAAGATTTTTCTATACTGAATTAACGTAATTTTCCATAAAACTTATTGTTTGATTTTAAAAAGATTTTTAATAAAAATTGAATTAAAAAAATGACTTGTCAAAACAGAACGTCTTTTTCCTTATTTTTCTTCATTTGAAATGTTTTGCTAGATTTCTTAAGTATGTCGGTGTGGGTTGAGCGATTATCGGCACGAATACCCACACTCACACTCACCCTCAAGATGGTTAGTAGAAGAGTTGAAAACGTGAAAAATTGTTTTAAATTATCGTATAGGATTATTTCTAATGATATCATTCAAAATCTATATTATATGTATATCAAGAGATAGGAATATCTAAGTAAACAATTGTGTTTGAAAAATTATGCATTCTAAGAGCTATGTTTAGGTGTTTGTCAACTGTTTTAGTATAATTTTTTTCCATCGTACTTTCATCCTGACTATCTTCGTTCGATGGCGAGTAATACAATGTTCAGTGGAAGAGACATTCGGCTTTTAAGGGTTAACAAGAAAAACGCGAAAAGGTTCGATAAAAATTTCACAAATATTCACATATTTAAGGGTGTGGGTGGATGTGGATTTGAATGTATGCTGGATATATAATATACACCCACACACCACACCCATACCCGTGTTATTTCTTGCTCTTGTCTCTACTAAAAATGTGTGGACACATTTTTTTCTGTTGGAGCTGTGATATGTTACAGTCATATCTCCATATGCCTTCATACATGCTTTCACGTTCTATCTGGTTGTTCGTTATACACATTCTTCGTTCCTTTTTCTTTCTTTTTTGTGTTATCGTTATTCAGTTTGAATAAAACACAACTTGAAGAGAGTCAGTCTCATAACTATTTTATCTTATTCGATTCTTCATACGGCCGCTAGCAAGGTTACCACGTGTTTTTTTCTCTTGTCTTTTCTTTTCTTTGATGGAGAAAAATTGCTTTTACTAGTAAAATATGGTGAGAAAGGAGGTGCTCCTTGAATAAAACGATTATTTTTTCTTTAAATCTAATGAAAAATTTGTTCACATAGGTAAAAACTAATGACAAATCGAATAGATACACTTTTGAAATAGGCATAAGATCTTTGGAGATTTTTTTTTGAATCTTCAGAGAGCTCTGCTGTAAAAAATAGTCTAAAACAAGTCCTTTTTTAAAGGCTACAAAAATAGAGATGCTGAGTAACATATATAAATATCATTCGTTTTTACCCATGTGAACAAATTTTTCATTACATTTAAAGAAAAAATGATCATTTTATTCAAGGAGCACCTCCTTTCTCACCATACTTTACTAGTAAAAGCAATTTTTCTCCATCAAAGAAAAGAAAAGAAAAGACAAGAGAAAAAAACACGTGGTAACTTTGTAAGTGGTCGTATAAGATAAAATATTTGTCTCTTTTATTTATGTAGAAAAGTAGTCGTTAAATAAAATGGCACATTCCTATCTGAGAGTTAGTTAAACGAACAACAGTTCGAGCATATTTTTGAAAAATAATATTTGACTAGAAAGTAAGATTTATGTATGAAAGCCCTAATAATTCTTTTTACATCCAATGTTTCGCGTCCCTATAAAAGCTGGCGTCACCAAAATTTCCATAGCACTCCCCTATGTCCAGAGAATGTTAACGTCATCAACGAGGGTGACGGAAGGGAGTTTGGGTCACATTCACGCTTTCAGACAGTATATGAGCTGTCTCGGCGTTTTGAAGCATCCGAGCAAAAGTGCCTGAATAGTACTCGCTAAGCTGGGGTTTATCCTACTTTCCGAGTACATCGGAAAACATAAAACCTTATCGCTTGGTCTTTTAGAATATATCATCACGATAGAAATACGAAGGCAGAGCCCGCTACTATAATCGTGTCGTGACGTTGTGTTGGAACTAATATACGTTACTCTCGCCGTCAATGTCGAACCCTAACATCCTCATCTCCGGTTCCGGAATCGCCGGTAGTGTCTTCGCATTTTGGCTGCTCCGTGCCTATCGTAACGCTAACATCACCATAGTTGAACGTGCTCCTTCTCTCCGCTTAACTGGTGCCAGCGTCGACATACGCAGTTCGGCCGTGGACATCATCAAATGGATGGGCGCGGAACAGGAGATCCGCAAGCATACCACGAACGAAGAGGGCGTACAATTTATTAAAGCAAATGGCGAAGCAATTGCAACATTCAGAGCGACAGGCAGGACCGACATTCAGAGCATCACATCCGAGTTCGAGATCTTTCGCGGTGCCCTTGCCAAAATCTTCATCGATCCAGTCTTGAAGCGGTTGGAACTCATCTTTGACGAGTCTATCGACCACTTCGAGCAGCGTAGTGACGGAGTGGTGGTCACGTTCGCAAAGAGCAAGAAAGTGAAGAAGTACGATCTTCTCGTGGCCGCAGATGGCCTTGGCTCGAATATTCGCGGCATGATGCTAAACAGCAAACCGCGTAAGCAAATCCACGATGAGGGCGTTCATGTAGCATATTTCACCATCAAGAGCGACCTGCTCGAGGGCTCCCGCCTAGCCAAGTGGTACAACGCACCGGGTGGTCGCTGTATCTTCCTACGACCCGATCCCAGTCCTGCTGGTCATACGAGAGGCAATCTCATAAATGTGACTACGACTCGAGATATTGAAACGAAGGCGAGACTCAATGAAGCTCTTCACGAAGGCAACACAAGCTACATGAAACTGATGGAAGAGATGTTCCGCGACGCAGGCTGGCTTTCACCAGAGGTACTACAAAGCATGCGCGGAAGCGACGACTTTTACTGCTCTCTGTTTGCGCAGGTCAGATCACCCAAAATACACGATGGGCGCGTAGTTCTGCTTGGCGATGCAGGTTACGCGACACCTGGCTTTGGCACTAGTCTCGCAATCATTGGCGGTTACGTCCTTGCGGGTGAGCTATTGAATCATCCTGGCGATATCAAAACGGGCTTGAAGCGGTATGAAGAGCTCATGCTACCGTTTGTAAAGTATTCGCAGGGCGGGCTGTCCAATGCGCCGCAGATGCTCAATCCGCAAACTCAACGGGGAATTAGAATCAGGAATACGATTATGAGTTTCGTGACATGGACGAAGTTGGATAAGTTGATGATGAGTGTAGCTCCGGCGCTGGGCTTCTCAGAGAAGAAACTTTCCATGCCTGATTATCCATGGCCGGCTTAATGGGCTAAGAAAAGATGTTCAGTCGTTTATAATATATCACCACCTATACCATTTTTTTCTTACTGGATTGACTTTTGGACCATACCGTTTGGGGAATGCTGATCTCAAAAACTAACACTTCTACGTCTTTTAAATGTGTACAGTTCTGAGTTCACTTGCTCTTCGTAACGGCCCTTTCTTTATGTGAATCTTTGTCGTCCTAACTGTATTTCCTGTTACTTCTTTGTGATGCAACTTTTCTTGTCTCTCTTTTTATTTTTTGACTATCTCTTGTATCAATCCATATGGAAGGTAAGAAAACAAAGATGATGTAGGCAGTGTTTTCAACTGTTCTTAATTAATTCGTCGAGAGATTTTCCGGCTAAACGGCTGCTGTAGTTTTGTTGAAACAGATTTGGAAGGTTTTTCCTTTAAGATCTAAAATTTGGCAATGCAATATGCATCCGCTGGGAAAAGGAATATTTCGAAACTCTGGAAGTGTAACGAAGGAAAAAAGCCGAAGATCGGTGAAATAAGAGAGTGAAGTGCTGAAGCATTTCGAGGGTGTGGGTGTGGTGGAAAAATGAGAGGAATACCCAAACCACACCCACCCACCCGCATAATTAAGTCAAACTGTTGTCTACTAACTGTTTTTTTCGCCGAATACCTTTCTGTTTTATTCTTTACAACAAAAATTATCTTATCATCATAAAATAGTTGATAAACAACAGAAAA